TGTTGTCTTCTCAATTTTCATTCCTAAGATTATATGTGCTTATCCCATATCTTTCATAATCTTTCATGTCAAAATTCCTAGATAAGTATGACTTCACATCATTCACAATCTCTAAATTCGTCCCAAAGATCAAAATGTCATCAACATATAGGCACAAGATTACGTGTTCTCCATTATTCTCTTTATAGTAAACGCATTTATCATGACCATTAAACTTAAAATCATAATCTAGAATCACCTTGTCAAATTTCTCATGCCATTGCTTAGGAGCTTGCTTTAGGCCATATAAAGATTTAACCAACTTGCACACCTTGTGTTCTTGGCCCTTAACTATGAATCCTTCTGGTTGCTCCATATAGATCTCTTCATCTAAGTCTCCATTTAAAAATGCCGTCTTCACATCCATTTGATGAATCACTAAATTATGCACAGATGCTAAAGCTATCAAAGTCTTTATGGTGGTAATCCTAGAAACAGGTGAGTAAGTATCAAAATAATCTATCCCTTTCTTTTGTGTAAAACCCTTAGCTACCAATCTCGCTTTGTACTTATCAATACTTCCATCTAGTTTCAACTTTTTCCTAAACACCCACTTGCACCCTATCGTTTTATTTCCAGCAGGCAAATCTGTTAACATCCATGTGTTATTTTGAATTATAGATTGAAACTCATCATTTATAGCCTCTTTCCAGAATGGTGCATCTACAGACATAATTGCTTCCTTATAAGTTGTGGGATCTCCTTCTACTAGAAAGGTATAAAAATCATCTCCAAAGTTCTTCTCAACTCTCGCTCTTTTGCTTCTTCTAAGTTCTTGAGATTCTAAATTTTCGATCATAGTTGAGCTAGAAGACTTCTCTCTTATTTGTACTTCCTTAGAAATTCTTGTCTTGTACGGGAAAATATCTTCAAAGAATGTAGCATCTCTTGCTTCCATAACTGTGTTGTTTGCAACCTCCTTTACTTCAGAGTTAATCACCAGGAATCTATTGGCACTACTATTTTTCGCATAACCGAGGAAAACTGCGTCTATAGTCTTAGAACCTATTTTCTTTCTCTTAGGATCGGGTATGAGTACCTTAGCTAAACACCCCCACACTTTTAGGATTCTAAGATTAGGCGATCTTCCTTTCCATAACTCATAAGGAGTTTTCTCATTATCCTTCAAAGTTATCCTATTAAGTATGAAACAAGCAGTTAACATTGCTTCCCCCCACAAATTCTCAGGTAGTCCACTACTAAGAAGCATAGAATTTACCATATCCATCAGGGTTCTATTTTTCCTTTCAGCCACTCCATTAGATTGGGGTGAATATGGTGGAGTAACTTCATGTATAATTCCATGTTCTTCACAAAACACTCCAAGCTCATTTGAGGTATACTCTCCACCTCTATCAGATCTAAGTCTTTTAATCTTTTTCTCCAATTGGTTTTCTACCTCACTTTTATAAATCTTGAGTTTATTAAACACCTCATCTTTTGTCTTAATAAGATAAATATGGCAATACCTAGAGAAGTCATCAATAAATGTCACAAAGTATTTGTTTCCACCTCTAGTAGGAGACCGATTTGAATCACACACATCACTATGTATGAGCTCTAAGATTTGGGTGTTTCTCTCTACAGGTTTGAAAGAATTCCTAGTTTGTTTGGCTTGAACACACACTTCACATTTATGCTTAAGGTCTACGTTAGACTTAGGGATTAGCTCAAGATCCATTAACGTTTTGATTTTGCTCAAACTTACATGTCCTAACCTTCCATGCCATACATTACAAGACTCAATATTAAAAACTTGAGGAGAAATTTTATTATCTTCAAAAATTACATTTATTTTGAATAATCCATCACAAACATATCCTTTTCCAATAAAGACATCATTTCTAGTAATAACAATCCTATTCGACTCCATTACAATTTTGTATCCTTGTTTTACTAAGGATGATCCACTAATAAGGTTTCTCCTCACTTCAGGAACATGTCGCACATCCTTGAGAGTTAGAATCTTTCCAGATGTCATCTTCAATTCCACTTCTCCTATTCCACGTACTTGTGCGACGGTGTCGTTTCCTAGGATTACACTTCCTCCACTTGAGTTCTGGTAAGTTTTGAAAAATCGTTTGTCAAAACACACATGTACATTTGCCCCAGAATCTAACCACCAATCATTATTACTTAAATATGCGATATTAACTAGAGGCTTAAAACTATACCTTAGATTGGGTTCATCTTGATCATCTTGATTCACCAACACATTCACTTGGGCTTTAGGACCACTTTGTCCTTTGTTCCACTTAGGCTTGGGCTTGTAGGGCTCGGTCTTCTTGTAATGACAGTCTTTGGCCCAATGATTTGTTCTTCCACAAACGAAGCATGGTTGATCCCTATTGCCATTGGAATTGTTATGGGTTCTATTGTGCTGTCGATTTTGGTTTCGGTTGAATTGATTATGGTTGGGTTGACTATTTTTGTTTGTCCTCTTGAAAGATTTCCTTTTGGATTGGAAACGATTCCTATTGTTTGAACTTTCTACTAGGTTCACGTTTGTCTTTTCTTCCTTAGGCTTGTTACTTGATCTATGTTTCTCTTCAATCCTAAGGGAGTTTAAAACTTGGGTTAAGGTTAAATCTCCTTGTTTGTGCCTAAGGGTTTTTGCAAAGTTTGACCAACTTGGGGGTAATTTATCTATGAGACAAGAGACTTTAAACTCTTCACTAAACTTAGTACCCTTAAGTTCTATTTTCCTTAAAAAATCTTGGTACTCATGAATTTGTTCACTTACAGTTTTATTCTCAACCATCAAATAGTTATTAAAGTTTGAGATTGTGAAACGATCTATTCCCGCATCTTCTATCCCATATTCAGCTTCTAATTCATCCCACAAAGTTTTTGCATTTTTTGTATCTTGATAAACATCATACAGATCATCAGAGAGAGCACTAAGGATTCTATTATGGCAATGATATTCTAATTCTTCTTTTGTCATCTTCTCCTTAGTTTTAGAAGTGGTTTCAGTAGTTTTATCAGGTGTGGTTTGATCTTCTAGGGCAGAAACTAACCCTAAAACAGTTAACCAGTATTTAAGTTGTCTTTGCCACCTCTTAAAATTTGTCCCATTAAATTTTCCTGGTTTAACACTATTGGTTTCTACACTATCCATCTCAATTCCAATGAACAATAATGAAGCAATAAAATCTGAAATTTAAATGTAATAGAAATTAAGATTGAGACGCTGTCCTAAAGCCTTTGTAGCCTCCCTACGTGCAGGTAATGACGGTCTACAAGACTCCAAGATACGACCCCAATACACAGGCTTAAGGTCCGCTATGAGCACGTTCACAGTCGGATAGAAATCTCCAAGCCACAGAACCGTTGCCCAAAAATAATATAGAAAGTATGGAATATATGAAAGTATGAGAATAGAGAAATCTGATTGTAGTCTCTTCAAATGTGAAGGAGGAGAGGCCTTTTATAGGCATCCAAAACTCGTAACCACCAGACACATTTAACCAGAAAAGTTGGTGGCAATGAATAGAAAATAAAAACTGAAAATTAAACAATTTGTAACTCCTATAATAAATAAAAGAAACAGCCAAAAATTAAAACAGAAAATAAAACGTTTTAAAATTTAAAATCCTTTCAAATAATAACAATATGTGCTTTGCACAATCAAGATGAGTTACACGAACATAACTTAAGTAAAGACACTCAAATCAAAAGGGTAAAATGCCTCAATCACAAGCCTTCTACAACACAAATGCCTTATTGCAGACAATGTTCTAAGCACAAATTATAATCTCTGACGAATATGAGCTTATGTCTGCTGCAATCGACATCAACTGAGTACATTGATACAACTGGTTTCACAATTCACACATGGAGAGCCTTTGAGTGCTTCTAAGGCCTTAGTCGACTGAGACCGGTTGCATGTTTTCGGCTTCCTTCCTCAGCTCTTCAAACAGGACAGATGACAAGTATCGCTCCCCGAAACTTGGGTGAACAGTCTAAAAATCCAACAAACAAGCAAAAGAATTATGAAGAGCCAAGATGTTTCACAGTTCACAACGCATGCCAAAAACTCAAAACGCGTACAGATTGAACAAACAATTAAAAACTTGATCCTATGTGCAGAGAAAACTGAAGGATAACTGGCTCTTACCACAATAAGTTTGCCTTTGTTTTCTGGCTTTTGAGCAAGCTCAATTGCTGCCACCGTGTTGGCTCCGGATGATATTCCTACCTACATGAACCAGGATTGAAAAATATGTTTCAGTATGTTGGTACCAAGTGCCAAGGTGGACCATGAAGTTTTGGGTGCTTAAAAGTCGAACTGATGCTCAAAATAATGAGTGGTGAAATCTGTGGTTATGGTAATCGAATAATTAATTACCATAAGTCCCTCTTCCAATGCCAATCGTCTTGCCATTTTTACTGCATCATCACTTTTAACCTGTAAAATGAGTGTCGAACATAAAAAATAAAGATCAATAAAAACCACAACTCCAAAAATAAACACTATAATTTTCCATCTTTTTTCAGCAAGTTCTGTTCTTCATAACAAAAATTCATCATATTTGGAAATTACCTCAATAACTCTATCCATCACATCCAAGTCCAAAATATCTGGTTTGAATCCAACCCCGTTGCCGGTGATCAAATGAGGACCTATTACCATGGACAACTTTGTAAGCTAACAGGACAATGAATCTTGCAGAGGATATATAAACTTCCAAAAATACAATGATGGACAAAAATACTTTGGAACCACCATACTAACTCTAAATAACAGTAAGGTTCCAAACTGTAATGAAAATTTCCTGCCACAGTAGCAACTAAACAACGCATTTAGGAAAGAAAGAATTTGACACAAGAAAAACTACCGAGAACCAGATGTTAAGCAATATTCTACCTGGTTTGCCACCGTTTAGCACATTACTTTCAGCAGGCTCCACTCCATATATCTACCATGATAGCAAGAGAATCAACATTAGCCAAGGAAATAAAAACACATCACAAAATGCATGAATATATTGGTGAGATAACTTAAAAAATTATCACCTGAACATTGGGATTTTTGGATTTGAGATACTGCCCAACCCCAGAGACTGTGCCTCCGCTACCAATTCCCATCACGAAGATGTCAACTTGCCCATCGGTATCCTCCCATATCTCAGGGCCTGTAGTTTCGAAATGCACCTGTTTTTTCAAAACCATTTTGAGGTCACTCATATATCCACCATCCATTTTATGACCATATATAGCATAATGATTATCTGGTGTGATGAATATTTTATTTATTTATGAAACTGGTGTGATATTTGATCAAGTTAAGTGTATGCAAATTCAATACAGCTTGAATCCAAGACTAGAAACTATCGATCATATTCGGTACCTGAGTATTGGCAGGATTTGAGAACTGTTGGAGCATATGAGCATTTGGTGTGGATTCCAGAAGATCATAAGCCTTCTTAACAGTTCCTCCCATCCCCCTGGCTGGATCAGTGAGAATTAATTCAGCTCCAAAGGCTCTCATACACACCCTTCTCTCCAAGCTTGTATAAGACGGCATAGTGAGAACCATTTTATACCCTCTCATGGCTGCCATAAAAGCCATGCTGATTCCCATATTTCCTGATGTTGGCTCCACCAGTACTGTCTGATGCATTTACACAATATTATTAATTAGGGAAATCTGAAGCTGTAGTGCAGAGTTTAAAAACAATCCTATCTGATTAACTGCCAAAAAAAAAAAAAGAAGAAGCATAAAACAGAACTCTTCAGCTAACCTTGCCAGGAGTTATCAAGCCTCTCTTTTCTGCATCATTGATCATTGAAAGTGCTGGTCTGTACCAAAATTAAACAAACAACTTTTCATTTGATCCATATCAAACGGTTGACGTATACTAAACCAAAACAGCGTGCGAATTTACGAATTCTAAAATAGCGATGAAGCAACAAATGTACCTGTCTTTGATGCTAGAGGTGGGTTGAAACATCTCTTGCTTGACAGCTATATAAGCTCCACATCCTTCAGTGACTTTGTTAAGATATACAATGGGAGTTCTACCGATGAGCTGAAATATGGCAAACAGATTTTATCAGTGAAAAGGCATATATATATATATACCTGATATAATATTTGATATGTAACACCATAAATCCTAGAACATCACACCTCTTCTGTGATTTCCTTTTCTTCACTGATTATTGCCTAAATTAATGGATTTCTATATATTGAAGCCCAATTAATTAAATCAAAACCCAATTCAGTAATCAGTTAAACAGATATATATCTAGTCAAATCTCCTTGATAGTTCATGATTAAGATCAATACAATGAATTTCATATGGGACCAGTAATAATAGACCAACCAGAGACGGGAAATGTGTATGTTTTGATAGATTTATAAATTGCCACACAAAAAAACCTGATAAGTTTATAAATTCAGCATGTGGTACAATTTAAACATGCACACGGATCTATTAAAAAAAAAAAAAACTCAACTTATATTTGATTATGTTTAATTTGGCAATAAATAAATAAAACCCCAAATAACCATGACAAATTGAAACTATAACGACGCACGTCTTCTTTTTTATTTTTGGTCCAAACGACACAACAAGTCCACTACCACGTGACCCACACAGAGTGAGTGGCAGAAGACTGTCTGCAACTTGTACTGCAAACACAAGTTCCCCAGACCCAAAAAAAAAAAAAGAAAAAGAGAAAAAAGATGCAGAGATCTCAAAAGGGTTATCTAAAACAGAGAAAATATAATAAATTTTTTCACATGTGAAACTAAAGTCTATGAATTTATAGGAAGAAAAGAGAACATAAAAAACTAGCATGCATCATAGAAGAAAAGAAGCTCACATTCAAACCAACAAAATGAAAATTCGTCAGAGAGAGAGAGAGAGAGATTAATAATTACTTGGGAGACTTCTGTTTTGACGTGGGTTCCAGGAAGATCCTTAGGAAGGTTTCTGACCCTCTGAGCAAAAGATGGAGAATCATTGATGGGTTGGCTCACTTGGGTTGAGAAGAGTCTCTTTCTCACGGCTTCATTGCAGAGCAAAGTGGATCTTTTCTTCAGAAAGCTCCTCAAGGCCGCCATTAATGGATGCTATTGGAAGCTGGTACTCCTCTGTCAATTGAACAGTAGATTTTGGATAATTGAAGTCCAAAGAGAAATTGTGACTCTGTGAGACTGGCAGCCAGAGTGAGAGACCGTTTTTATAAGGTTTTTGGTGAGGTAGAGTGGAGAGTTGGATGACGATGATATAGGATTGAGATGCACGGATCTATAGAGAAAGTGTAGAGCAGGGGCTGGCGCACACATGTATGGTGGGCCTTTACGTTACAGTTACCTCTTGAGAAACGCTATTTGCATGTAGCACACTTGTATTGCATTTGTACGCATGTAGCACACTTGTACTGCATTTGTATGGTTTGCTAATCTATCCACATATATAAAGCAAATGATACACAACAGTAAAACATTCAAAATACTATAATATGCTTTTGAATAATGTAAACATTAAAAAGTTCGTTTGGTACGTCAGACTGTACTGACTAATTTGAGTGACTAATTTGAGTCAATCTGTTACCTTAGTTAAAATTTTAGTGCAATGTATCACTTAAGCTAACTCAATTTGTTTTCTCCTCCAAAATGTTGCATGTGTTTAACATGTCAGATTTTTAAAGGACCGTGTAATAATAGTCTTGTAATTAAATAGCCCTTCAAAAAGTATCACAAGCAGTTGTTTGACAAGTTAAAGTAGGAAGAATTATTAGACTATACATTCTACATTGCAACAAAGTTCTAGTTTAGGTAACAAATATTTGACTGAGCTTTTGCAATGAAAAATTACAAGAAGACTTTAACCTTCTTATTATAATATATTTTATGATGCGAGGAGTTGAATGAAGCATCTGTTCTTAATCATGAGTAGACAAATATATGTAAATGGGACCACATTAGCAGCTGTTGGGATTGGGAATTATCTCTCATTGTGGAGAGGGGTGGTGGTAAGTTGCTTTGGTGGGCTCCTTAATCTAAATCATCATTTAGATGTTTCTTACGTCGTCGATTAGTACTATGGTTTTAATTGAGGGTAAAGAGTAAAGGGTAAAGGGTAGGTCAAATGTTGAGATTGATTTTAACTTTATTATAGTTAATTAGTGTAAGTCCCTAAAGTCTTTTATTTTACCAAATAAATCCCTGAAGTCTTTTATGATTATTCATTTTTAATACAAGCGATAGTCTAAACTATAAGTAGAATGAGGATTTCTCACACACACACACACACATTATTAAGGTGTCGTAAGGGTTCGAATCTAGATCACTGGTATGCAAGTTAATACTCTTTTCTATTAAGCTAAACAACATTGGCAAAGCCCCTAAAGTCTTTAATTAGACTTTAGTTACACATTTTTAATGAATATTTGAAGATTCTTTGATGTAAACGAGTTGCGTGAGTATCATGATGCTCATTATAAATATAAGCTCATAAGTTTCAACTTGGTTCTATCTTTGAGCCAAACTTGATTCTCTAGTAGGAGACGTCCAATAACTTGAATCAAAATTAGTATTTAATTAACTTGTCAATTTGCAATGGACCATAGTTAAATGAATGATGCAATATAACACAAAGATTGTCCATAGAGAATTACTTTATTGGTCTCTAAACTTTGATCCATATTGTCTTCACGTCAATGATAATAAAGAGAAAACACAAAATTACCCATAAAATTCGCAAAATTTATTAATAAAGTTTGATTTGGTACTCATTATAATTCAGGTCTTATTGATACCAAAAGTGATATATAAAATAAATATATGAAAACCCACCTTTTACTTTGTATGGAAGACAGCAAAAGAATAAGAAGCAAAATGTATCTTTTATACTCATCCAATTTGGTCACAGAAACAGAAAGCTATCATTGCATTATTGCATGTAGCCGTTGCCCCATATAACTGATGATGGGACGAGTGGTCAAATTCAAATTCCATACGTTGTTGTTTTCCATTTCAATGGAAGCCAAGCCAAAGCCACATATATATTTATGCTGCTGCTGGTGTGCACCCTTTGGCCTTGGGAGATTTGAGAAGCCAAAAAAGAAATGGCTCTCCGATGATGGAAGAGCAAAGCAAACCCCACTGCTCAAACAAGTGCATTATGTTATTTTGTTTGCCTTAAGATGCTATTTTGTGTGGTCTGTGTATTTTGTATTTAAAGAAGGGAAAAAAAAAGAAAAAAGAAATTACATAGGCACATCAAAGAGCAAGGAAACATACCAATAAGAGTTGGTTCAGTTGGTAATGTCTCTGTGTAGTCCAACCAGTATTTAAGTCCCGCTGTCAGCAGTCCTCATTGGTGCACGATCTGTAATTTTCTACATAAATTTATATTGGTGGTAGATGACAGTTGGATACCATGCTTAAGTCTTTCTAGCTTAAGGTTGTGGATATACTCTAACGCTGAAACATGTTTAAGGTTACTTACCAACTACTTTTTCTCATTGTATTCACCAATCTTCTTTTGTAATTTTCGTAATTTTCGATATTTATTTTTTACGAATATGTATGATTTTAATAATACATGAAAAAAAACTGAATGAAATATACTTAAATGTCCTTAAAATTGAAAACTTGTTTCCTGCCCGCACACGCCTCCACCCACATCCCAGTTTTTCCTCTGCCTAACCCATCCCCACCACTACCATTCCAAAGTTGCTTTAGGTTGGTTTCGTTGTTTGAATGAAGAAAGCAGCCGAAGTGTAAAATATCCCATAAGAATCTTTAAACCATACACATCAAATTACATATGTGTAAAATATCCGATGAAAAATTCCTAAACCAGATACAAGTATCCAAAGTGGCATCTCATTTCTTAGCCGAAGTGTGTGCGATTGATTTGTCTCTCTACAAGTATCCAAAGAAGGAGTTGCCAGATGTACGGAATTATTGTGCAAATCGACCATAGGGGATTATTTGTCGATTAACTATATATATATATATATATATTATATTCATATATCTTATGCATTACGCATTATAATAACGTAATTGCGTAACTTGGTGGGAATCGGTCTCCCAAAATTAAATTCAATTCCGTAATCAAATTTGTCAGTAGTCACACTCCACATCGAAAGAATAGTTTTTTTTGACCTTTTTTTTTTAACGCTCATTGGATGAAGACTAAAACTTGCATGTTGACCTGGGAGAGCGAATCACGTTTTTCCTTCATTATCGCTGGTATAAAAAATTAAAAATTGAATATACATGTATAGTACCTCTCATAATACATACATAGTCATGGAATTAACAATGTTATATGGTGAGATGTACATGTATGTATAATAATAAGTTATTATATTTAAATGGCGCATCATAAATTCATTGATTGGGAAGATATTGAACGATTATGAGATCAACTACTCTCTCATAATTCCTAATTTTTTAAGTATTAGATTACGGATTTCATGTCTTTATGTATTAGTAATCATAGACTTAGATTCAAACCAAAACGAACACATGAGATATAAGATTTGTACTTAGAATTTGCCACTCCCCTAGACTAGTACAAGTCATTGGCGGACCCAATACATGCCTACTGTGGGCCCACACTTAGGTGGTTTCTTCACTCATCTAGCCAAACACTTTGCCAATAAAAATTAGACACTTAACTAATATTTTGCATGCAAAATCCCCACTTAGCATCTTAAATAAGTAAAGCCTTCAAGGTTTTAGCCCAAAACCTCTTCTATATTGAAAATATCAAGGCCCAAGACTTAATAAACATATGGTCCAATATATAAAGCCTTAGATTTTGGCCCAAAATCATATATTAAAAATTTATTGAAATAGATTATGTGTTATAATATATATCGTATTGCTATGAAAACCTAGACTTTGTAGGAGTCAGTTATGAAATTGTTTTTCATGCCCCCAGATGGAAAAAAGTATGGGTCCACCATTGGTACCAGTTGAGTTGATTTAAAATTATATTATTTTGTTTACCCAAAACAAGATTCCCCCGGAGGATATTTAAATCATACATATCAAAATAGAGTATATATAAAATATCCGATGAAAAATTCCTAAAAGCCAAATACAAGTATCCAAAGTAGCATGTAATTTCTTAGTCAAAGTGTCCGATTGATTTGTATCTCTATAAGCATGAGGTAATAAATTGTGTTGGAAACCTTGTAGGAGTTGCCAAGTGTACTGATCTTATGCATTATGCATTGCGTTATGAATTAATTATGTTATGTGTAGCTAATCCAAAGGATCAGTATGTGTTAGTTCCTCACGTTAAGGACGCACAGGTGACAGGGAACGCAAAATCCAAAAACAAAATACACAAAAAGAATGCGACAATTCCACACAGGCCAAAAATCAATGTTGGTATTGGTTAATTATCTAATTCATTAAACAATGTATTTGAGTCAATCCCTGTGAGTTAGTGTAAATGATCTCAGGTGACCTAGTGTTGTAATACTGATCTCAGGTGACCTAGTGTTGTAATATTGACTCACTCAAACCATCCCCAAATAAACAAATTGTCATATTTATATAAATTGCATTCATAATTTAGTTATAAAAATCGTCAGTTACAAATGTCAGTACGAATACAGATAACCACACAAGGTTATTACAAATACGGAAGCGCAGTAACTACAAAGGGTTAATCTAAATATGGACGACTTCACTAGCAACATCAGGCGCACAAGTGTACCTCCACACATAGCCATAAAGTTGCAAGCTTGTACAAGTCAGACATAGACCACGACGCACTACAATCTTTAAACTGTCACAAGTAAAAAGTTACAGGTAGAGACTATGAACACGCAACAAACTCAAAAATAGTTGATTCACTTATTACAAACAAAAACTAAAACACATGAAGGAAATCAAGAGCTGGAACCCGAGATCTGCAAAAGAACCCAACAAAAACGACAAAGGCAACCACGTCGTCCCCAAGCAAATAAAATAGTAAATTTGGCTTATACCCTTCAAATTCAATTTGCCGTACCTAAAACCCTTCACTTTTTGTTCCTATAAATAATACCCAATTTGTATAAGTAAAAAC